ACTTGTAATTGGCCTTCATTTTTTGTTTATTTTATTATTGTTTTTTAAGCTAGCTGTAAGTTATCCGTAAATAAATAAAATAAAATAAAATTCTGCAACGGTTCAACATATCTTATTGAAATTTGACACAGATATAAAACAAAGCCTGGAGTATACATGGGATAAGGTTCATCCCCGAGAAGTGTCCGGTTCCCGGGATACGTAGCTTTTGTTATTTATATCGTCGTACTTTTTCTAATACCACGCGGACAAAGTCGCGGGCAACTATGCTTCCTCTATGTATGTTTTAAAATCTCTATGTTTAACATCCATCCATCCAAACTGAGTAAAGAATTATAGACTTACCAATCCCGGCACCAGCTAAGTAGACAGCAGCGGGACAGCCGAGCCCACCAGCACCAACAATCAACACCTTAGCATTACACAGCTTTTCCTGACCCACTACTCCAATATCGGGCAATAATATCTGCCTACTATACCTGTAAATAGATCAGAATTAATTTTCTCTATTCATTTTTTTTTATAAGAGTAGAGGCAAACGAGAGACACAGAGGTCAACGACGCCCAAGGACATCTGCAACACCAGAGGAACTACAGATATGTTACCGGTGTTTAAGGAAATGGTAGGCTTCCTTCTTAAAGGACCTTAAGTCTTATTGGTTTTGTAATACCGCCGAGGACCATTCCACAATGCGGCTGTGCGAGACAGAAAGCAGGGCATCCAAAACAATATTTCAATACTAATGTGATAGAGGAAAGATTTATATTTTTGTATGTATTGCTATAACTCAAAATCTACTGGGTTGATTACAAAACTAATATAAAGAGGAACAATTTTTATTTTTATATATATTGAAATAACCCAAAACTACTGAGTTAATAACAAAATTTCTTTCACCATTAAAAAGCTAATCAATTATTATTTTTAAAATTCATGCAGACAGTTTTAATGTATTAAAACAGACAAGGGGATGCAAAGAGGATATTTTCTTCATACAAGTCCCATCCTCTATCAGAGCCACTTGCCATGAAAAGGGTGGAAAAGGGAAGTACATACACTTGTCAGATATAATGTGGAATTGTACCTTTTTTTTCCCACCCATTTTCTAATAAGAATAGTATGGAATAGGAACATGGATTTGATGGTGGAAGAGATGTATAGCATGCGAAAATATCAAAGTGGTTTCTACTAATATTGTAGTTGAGATTACCTTTCAATAGCCCATTTAGGAAGTTTATTACCATACTGCACTTTGGTTACATTTTCATTACGTGAGTATAATGTAGTGAATTCCGGTTGCGTACTATTTGGCTGCATCTGTAAGTAAATGTTATCGATAATATTTATTCTCTAGAAAGTTTTCGTATAATTTACAGTTCTTTTAGTGCAGCTGACTTATTACAATTAATGTAAGAAATTAAAACGTACCGGCATCCAGTTTCTTTTCATTTCAAATAATTCGTTTTCTTTCTCTTGTAAAGTTTTCCGTAAATAATCTATTTTTTGTTCCAATGTTTGTATGTGCTCCATTTCTAAATCTTATTTCTTACGCTTAAAGTTAAATAAAAACAATAAAATGATAAAACAATAACAAAAATGTAATGATTACTTTTTTGTGTGACATTGACAGTTTGTGTTATTGACAGTTAGCTTTCTTAAACTTGCGTTGGCAAAAGCTTAGAAAGTCCTAGAGCTTAGTAATGTTGGGAAAAAATAAAAGTAAATGCTAATTTTACTACAATAAATTCTGTTTTACTTGTATTTTTACTATTTTAAATAATAAGTTCAATTAATAGCTTAAAAAGATATCTTAAGAGGTAAATTCTATTTACAAGAACGATATGAATAATTGACAACTGTCAGTTACCACGAGACGAAAATTGGAATTGTAAATTGTAAACTTGAGTATAGGAAACCTGCATTATATTTGAATTCTATTATAACTCAGGTAAATCATTGGAAGTTTCTCGAATTTCCTTACCGGCGATATCCTTCCTGTTTTTCTTGCACACCGGATGAAGTAAGTCTGCAGGTAAGGTATTTTTCATAACTCTCTTTTATTTACTCTTATTGACCTTATTACTTCTACAATTGCCCTTTCTTATCATTCTTAAGCCTCCAATACATTTATACGTGAAGTATAATGTTAAACAACCGACTATAAGTTTAGATACGCACGATTATTCGACTTAATTTGCGACGCAATACCGGTAGCCGGTAACTTTGTTTATAATTTATATAGTGGATACTAGTATAGTATTTCTTTGGTAAAGATGTTTAAAAATTACTTATATAATATTGTTTTTTATTTTACAGATTAACAATGCCGCAGTCACGTCGCAAAGCCCCATTCAGTGGGAAGGCTAAGAAGCAACAACTGCAAGCTAAAAAGAATAAGAACTTGCTGGTATCTGGTAAGTAAGCTCAAAGTCTACACTCCGTAGGGTGTCTGTAAACCCCAATATGTGTGAAATAGATCAGTAAACTGATTCATAGATTATACCTTAATTTATATCTCCATTGAGGTATGACACATTGCTTATATTAAATAAATAAATTTTTCACAGCATCAACAAGTTCGAATGCATATGATGTGGTATCCGTGAACTACCAACCGAAGGCGCGTGGACGTGATACAAATAGATATGCTCTCAAATTCTACAGAGAAACGGATGAGGAACTCAAAATGAAGAAAGAAGATTCAATGTAAGTAACCAAATACTAGTTTTTGTCCATGACTGTATGAAATTAAAGAAAATTTCTAGACATATAGCCTATAGTCTAATGTGGAGGTAGACGTAGAAAGAGATGGATGGATTGCATAAAAGGTGACATGATCTAGAAGGGAGTTATGACCGAGATGAGGTATGATAGAGTTATTTGAAGCGCCAACCCGGTGCGCCAACCCTACGGGAGTAGGATGAGCAGGAAGATGATGAAAAGAAATATACAAATCTTTCCCCTTTGTGTTAGAAGATAGATAAATAGATCCTAGTCAACCAAGCTAACTTGAGGTATGCATGTAGACAGGTGCAATGCACATAGACAGGAGTGATGCATGTAGACAGGTGTGTTACATGTAGACAGGCGTGTTGCACATAGATTACTGACGTCAAAACACTCCGTTCGCGTTTTGGTCGCATGAAAACGATTATGGTTTTTTTTAGCTTAATGGTTTGTTTTTAGGGGCCAGATGAAATGGACTGGAATATAGTTATTGTAATTGTTTTTTTAATTACGCGCTAATGAATTTTGCAGGCGACAGCCCATAATTATTGGTATTAGATTCCTAACAGTTTTATCTGTTTCATTTTCAGGAAATCATTGAATAGGGTATTAGAGAAGGATATGGAGGTAGATCCGACAGATTACTTCCCATCGGATATCTCATTCCCGAAGCGACCTCCATGGGACTTCTCTATGACTGCTGCCCAACTGGATGCACAGGAACAGAAGTACTTCAGGGTAAGTGGTTACTGTTAATTTTTTTTAGCTAAGCTATTGAACTGCTGTTTTTATTTAGTTATAATTAAAAAAGCTTTTGCCCGCAACTCTGTCCACATGTAATTAAGAAAAAACTAAGTAGCCTATGTCTTCTTCCAGGGTATGTTCTACATTGCCAAATTTCATTGAGATCCGTTTAGCAGTTTAGGATACAATTTCTAACAAACATCCATTCATCCATTCATCTAAACTCTAGTATTTAAAATATTTCGATAGAATGGAATTTTTATTTTCTATATGAATTGTAAATTTTTACTTCTGTCCTATACCTTTTGACCATAATTTAAAATTTTTATATGGAGCGTCTAGATTCTTTATTAGTTTTTCCATACCCTTGTGCTAAAATCACATAAGTTAGTTTTATTAGTTTTTCCATACCCTCGTGCTAAAATCACATAAGCTAGTTTTACACAGGTGTAGTTTTTTAAATAATTCTCTCCTTACTATTTACTACATTTTTTTAATTCCTCTCGATGAACTCTCAAGTAAAAGCTTATCATCATCAATTGTCCTTGTACCTACGAAGGGTCGGCACAGTGCTCCTTTTAATAAAAGCTTGTATTTATATACGAGCTGTTGCCAATGACTTCGTCCGCGTTATTAGAAAACATACGAACTATATAAATAACAAAAAGCTACATATCCCGGGAACCGGACATTTCTCGGCGATGAACCTTATCCAATGTTTATTCCAGACTTTGTTTTATATCTGTGACAAATTTCAATAAGATATGTTGAACCGTTGCAGAATGATTGAGTAAACATAAAAAAACTAAATTAATGAATCCCACGGGAACCGTAACTATTCCCGGGATAAAAAGTAGGCTATGTGTTCTTCCAGACTATGCTTTAAACCTGTGCCAAATTTCATGGAGATCCGGTCAGCCGTTTAGGCTACAAACGCTAACAAACATCCATCCATCTAAACTTTCGCATTTATAATATTAGTAAAAAGTAAACTTTTATGTTATTTACAGGAGTATATAGATGCACTGCAAGCGTCCGAACATTGGAAGGACATGTCATATTTTGAGCTGAATTTGGAGACGTGGCGTCAGTTGTGGCGTGTATTGGAGATGTGCGATGTCTTATTGTTGATTGTGGATATTAGATATGCTGTGAGTATTATACAGGATGTTCTGAGAATAATTTTTGAAAATAGGATATGTTAGGAAGAAAATATTAGTTTACTTAATCCAAAGATATTTCAAAATATATAGACAGTGAAGAAAATTTTTTCACTGGTAGTTTCTCTGACAGGTACTATATCAGTTGTCAAGTTTAGTGCCGTCTCCATCTTTTGTTATAAAATAACCTAAACAAAAATATGAACATTTAAATATTGTATAATATCTATACAATAAATTATATTGACATGTTGAGGGTCTATCAATAGACAGTGTTAATTATGTGAAAAATGTCTCAAGATAAGTGGATTTGACGGTGGAGACGCATAGGAAAGGGAAATGTCCTCTTTATGCGCGCCTCCTCCGTCAATGAAGGGTAGGCAGCGCTGCAATTGCGGATGTCTATGTGCAGCGGTCGCTTTCCATTTCGGTGGAAACAGACCGCTTGTTCGTTTGCTAACTTATATTATAAAAAAAAAAATCGATTTTTTTTTACCTAATTATAATAATTTATTTAAACTATCGTGAGATATTGCTTTAAGCAAAAACTAAAATTGCTCCAACTCATATCCTCCGGTGACTGCGCCGACTAGTTTCAGACTCAGGGTCCTTCAGGGCGAGTATTATAGTGTGTCTAAATAAGATAGATTAGTTTGATAAATGACTCATATGAAGTATCGAATTCAATTTGTATAAAAGTAAATGCCGTACTTAATAGACAGGTATCGTAGTGACGAAACACGCAGCGAACAATTATGAACTATCGATATTCGGTTTAAATAATTATCGAACTCAACTAAAACTATTATTTTCTTATTAACTAATTTATAGGACAATTCTAGTATTGATTATAGTGAGAATTTAGCGATGACAATAATAATAGCGAAATCCAATTCGATTACGTAGGGCTGTAGTAGTAATAGACATTTATTTACTCTTATTATTTGTTATATGTTATTAATTTGAGAAAACAGTGTTTTTTTATTACATAAGTTATAACTATAAATCTATCGATTCCAACTTCTATAAGAATAAAAATCGAAAATCGATAAGATTCATGACTGATTTTACACAACCCATCCCTACTAAATTTGAAGTGAATTGTCAAACTAATCTAAATTATTTAGACACACTATAGTTAGCTTTTTAATAATTTGATTATTCCAGGGTATGATGTTTCCCCCATCTTTATATGAATATGTTAAACAACAGAAAAAGAATATGATTTTGGTGCTAAATAAGATAGATTTAGTACCGGCATCTGTTGTGGCCGCTTGGAAGGAATTTCTACTGAAGAAGTATCCCGATTTGAAAATTGTATATTTTACATCTTGTCCGGGATATAATTTGAGAGGAAGTACCAGTGATAGAACTGGTAAGTTCATCATCATGACCACCATGATCGTCACTATCAACAAGTTAATAACTTCATGTTTTTTTTATTGTAACATCAGTGGAAAAGCTATCTATACTAATACAAAGAGGAAAGATTTGTATTTTTTATGTATTGAAATAACTCAAAAACTACTGGGGCGATTAAAAAAATAGATTTCGATGGAATTTGGTGTAGATGTAGGGGGTAGTCTGGAAGAACACATACGGTACTAATTTGTTTTTTTTTTTTAATTCAACGTGAACGGAGTCGCGGGCGAAAACTAGTTATTTTATAATTTCACGGGAACAAAATTGCGAGCAACAGATAGTCACAAATAAACATGTTATATCAATACGTGATATTTTTATGGAAATTTGTCATTATCATTATAAAAATGTCAATATTCCGTGCAGGTTATTGGACAAAATATGACGCTTTCAAGACATTGTTAGTTCACTAAAATACCAACTGCTCTATATTCCTTGTAGGTCTATAGTACTTTAAGTTTGCTATTACAAAATATCTGGCGCCTTACTATTGACACAATAAAATTGTCATCATATACATTTACTTAAAGTAATTATATTTGAAGATAATATGATACTAGCTTTTTACCGCGACTCCGTCCGCGTGGAATTAAAAAAGACAAAAATAAATAGCCTGTGTGTTCTTCCAGACTATCCTCTACATCTATACCAATTTCATCGAAATCCGTTCAGCAAATTAGAATTCAAACTCTAACAAACCATCCATCTAAAGTTTTGTATGGGCCATTAATTTTATTATTTATAAAATTAAGGGCCTGTATCCATGAAATTGTAAGTTGTCTGATAACAATCCAACATGTAAAATATGTGTGACGTCATAAGCTTTCTGAGCCTCTAGCCAGTGGTGGGACACACCCTAAGTAAGATATATGATAAATATTTTTTAAATGTTTATTTTTCAGGTCTTCAAATACGCAGACGTAGAGGGAAGCAACGTATGTGTGTTGAAGGCGCTATGAAGATATATGAGGCTTGTATGGAAATTGTGAACGACGAAATTGACTTAAGCACGTGGAAGTTGAAAATAATCGAAGAGAATAATTTGGAGTTCGATTATGATAAGGCTGCTTCAGTTGGTAAGAAAGAATTATATATCCTTTACGATAATGCTTTTTTGTAGGGTTGTAACGGAATTCCGCTTCCGCATCCGCTTGAACTTCCGCAAGAAATGATAACTCCTCATCCGCTTCCGCTTTCGTTATTTCTTATGCGGAGTTATAACAAAGGATAATTTACCTTTTTAACGCGAGTGGGGTGATTAGGTATCGTTTATACGGGCGTGCTAGGTCAACTAACTATAATTGTTATACAATATGTCTGTCTCGGTTAAGTCACCCTATTATGTGTTAATACTCATGTGTAAAGGGGCCAGCTGAAAACCAGCGCAGTAACGGCGTGCGCCGTCCCTGCATTAGCTGAGCTTGCCACCTTTTGCCACATTTCTCTCTCTTTTTTATATTAGCTCTAAGGTTTTGTGTATTAAATGTTTATGTAGTTTTTTTTTGTGGCAAAAAAAAATCTATTTATTTTTTTTATTTTAATATATTTGCATAATAAACTGTATCTTGTTATTATATACCAATTTGTATTTTGAATTAACGTAGTTACTTTTTATTTCCTTAATAAATCGCAAATAACATTCTATTATTCCTCCGCTTCTGCAGAGGTGAAGCCCTTCGCCTCCGCATCCGCTTCCGTTAAAATAGACTCTGTTACAACTCTACTGTTTTGTATGTAGATTTTGATTTCATTCTAATGTCTATGATAATAAAGAGGAAAAATTTTTTTTTGGTATGTTAGTAAATTCAAACTGTGACCGATTTCAATAGTTCTTTCACCATTAAAAAGCTACGTAATCAGTGAATTATAGGCTATATTTTATTAGTTACTAGCTGTTGCTCCCAACTTCGTATGCGCGGAAATAAAAATAGTAATAAATATAGCCTATGTTACTCAGTGATAACATAGCTATTTATTCAAGAATTTTTGAAATTATCCCAGTAGTGTTTGAATTATATAATTACATACAAAAATACAAAAATTTACTCTTTATAATATTGGTATAGACTAACTATTGCTTGCGACTTCGCTTGCTTGAAATTATAAATAATATAAAACATAGCCTATGTTACTCACTGATACCGTGATAGAATTTTTGAAATTGTCCCAGTAGTTTTTGAGTTACTCTAATACATAAAAAAATACAAATATTTCCCTTTTATATTAGTATAGATTATGCAAATTTTTATATGTTTTTCAGGTGAAACTATTATCCAGGAAGTGGATACAACATTTTATAGACATGAGAAATATAAAAATGAAATTTTAACAATAGGATGTGTTGGACAACCAAATGTAGGGAAATCCTCTCTAATGAACGCTATAATGGGAAAGAAAGTTGTCTCAGTATCAAAAACTCCGGGACATACAAAACATTTTCAAACAATAATGCTGACTCCGCAGGTAAATATACCATTTTTAGGCCCTGTCCTACCACTGGCTGTGTATATCGTAAAAGATTTAGAAATAAAACTTTTTTTAACGGAGACATGTGTAATGATAAAATATGTACAGAAAAAAGACTAGGACAAAGTGATGACGTCGTCCTAATTTTAAATAATTTAATTTCTTCTTCTTTTCTAATGGCTTGACTCTAAAAACGTGTAAAAACTCCTTGAACAGGCTGATAGAGGCTCAGATAGTCCGATAAGAGTACAAAATCCGATATTTCCATCACTCATATTACACATTCGATTGTTATTAGACAATTTACAATTTGGTAGAACAGACCCTTAGTGTCCAAAATTGGAATATCTTTGTAATCTGTACTAATGTTATAAAGAGAAAAGATTTGTATTTTTTATGTATTGAAATAACTCAAAAACTACTGGGACAATTTCAAAAAAAAATTCTCGTTATTAGTGAGTAACATAGGACATATTTTTATTGAAACATTTGTATTTTAGTATGTATTGAAATAACTCAAAAACTACTGGGGCGATTTTAAAAATTCATTTATCATTAGGTAGGTAATTTATCTGTCAAAAGGTTAGCCTATATTCTATTTATACAAGTTGCTGTCGCTCGCGTATATAAATATTTGATTTTTAGAAATTAGTAGACTTTTATTGTATTTTTATAATGATTATTTAATTTTTATTCTGTACAACTTTTGTATATTTTATTAATTTATGCTTTTGTCGCTCATTGTGTATTAAAAACAGCAATAAAGACTTTATTTTATATATTTTATTTTTAGGTACGTCTGTGTGATTGCCCGGGGTTAGTGTTTCCATCCAAAGTCCCCCGACCCATACAGATATTGATGGGATCATATCCCATCGCTCAACTGAGAGAGCCTTATACTACTATCAGGTAATATATTTAATACTAGCTTTCACCCGCGATTCGTCTGCGTAAAATTAAGGAAACAAAAGTAAGAAGCCTATGTGTTCTTCCAGACTATCCTCTAAATCTATACATAATTTTATCGAAATCCGTTCAGCAGTTTAGACAACAAAGTTTTAACTAACATACATCTAAACTTTTTCTGAATCTCTTTTCTCTTCAAAATTTTAGTTGAATCTCATGACATTGTCCGCCTGGAATTAAGGATATAATAAAAATGTACCTGTGTCACTCACTGATAACGTAGCTTTTTAACAGTGAAAGAATTTTTAAAATAGCCCTAGTAGTTTTTGAGTTATATCAATACATACAAAAATGGAAAACTTTCCTGTTTATAATATTAGAATTGTAGTGTACTTATCCATTTATTTAATTATTTATTTATATGTTACACTACATTTATTTATTTATCATTTATTTATAACATTACATTCACGCATTCACACATGCTATACATTCACACAAACACAATTCAATTTATATATTTTATATGACACAACTTCATACGTACAAACAAACACGCACACTCCACATTTATATACATAATTTCAACATGCTACACAGGCACAGCGCCACGCGCGGCGCGGACGCAAATCGTCCGAACTGCAAATCATGCGCCGCGCCGCGCCGGCCGTCAACCAGTCGCCTCGCGCTGCTACACTGTGCTCACACCTCGCTCGTTTGCCCTCTCGCCCGCCATTTTGTTTACGTGTTTTCTTAGTTTATATTGTTTACGTGTACGTCTTAACTTGTATCCGTGTACGTGAAACAATAAATTGTTTAATTATTATATAGTGGTTTATCTCATCGCACGGTGAAACTACATCCTCAATACCTCTATAGAATAAACAGTAATCTAGATCCGTTAAGTAATTTAGGATACAAAGTAACAAACATACGTCTAAACTTTCGTATTTATAATATTAGTAATATTAATATTTCCAGGTATTTAGCAGAAAGGTTAGATTTGCCCAGACTACTGCGTCTGGAGCATCCAGATTTAGATGACACCTGGTCTCCTAGAGACATCTGCGACGGATGGGCCAAAAAACGTAGCTACCTCACCGCTAAAGCCGCCAGGTAAACACTGAGTTGTTTTTATAGAAAAATACTTAAATCACGGGCAATAATAAAAAACCTAATAAACGCAGCATTTATTACTTAGTTTTCGCGTAAATAATAAATATAGTATAAATCGACTATGCGCCTGTTGTCGTGGAATAGCAATTCCTTAAGTAATATTATTTGCCCGAGCGCCTGCCACTTTATTAACAGCAAGGACATAACTTCAATTTATTGCCATGTTTTTATTACGCTAATAATTTAGAATTTAGTCGAGTCGTATCTCCCTCCCTTGTAAAATTTCATTATTTTTTTGCGCAAATGCCTCATAAGTATTGTTTCGTGATTTTTCGTACAAATGCCTGCTTTCTTTGTGAATTTTGATAATTGCAGCACATTTCTTCGTATCTCTTCCTCGTGCTATTTCGTGTTTTTTGACACTACTCCCTTTCTTTGTAATGTTTCAGGATTTTTAATGCAACTCCCTTTTCTGTTTATATTATCGAGCGATCCGCTACTCGTTTGCCCATTTTTCTATACTATATTATAAAGAGGAAAAATTTGTATTTTTATTTTAAAAATTCTTTCACCATTAGTAAGGAAATTTATATAAAAAAGCGCAATTTTGCGCAAATCCCTCTTCTAAGTTAAAATAATCTATGAATCTCTTAAGAACGTGGAGTTTTATTTAATTTAGTTTTATTTATTTTCAGGTTAGATACATACCGAGCAGCGAATAGTCTTTTAAGGATGGCTTTAGATGGAAGGATATGTTTGTGGCTTCGACCACCAGGTTTTACTGAGGAAAAGTGTAAGTATTTATTTACTAGCTGTTTTCGTGCGGCTTCATCCGCATGTAATTATGAAAATTTTATTTTATTGTTTACATTTGTCAAATTATCAATAGCAAATGTCAAAATGACGACATTTCAAATCTTAGCAATCTTGCTTTCTTGATGTTGGCAGCAACTTATGGTCTCTCTCCCACGTTAGGGTTTTTTATCGAAAATATTTACCCCCTAAGCTGAATGGCGTGAAAATATATAGCCTAAAGCATGACGTAAGTGTAGGGCTTTTTAATAAAAAAGGAATTATTAAAAAATATGGTGTAATTGCTGACATCTTTCGCAACAAAGAAGTGTGTGTTTACGCTTTATTATAATAGTATAGATTAGTGCATTATGTATATATCTACGCTAATATTGTAAGGAGGAACGATTTGTATTTTTGTATCTATTGAAATAACTCAAAAATTCTTTCACCATTAAAAGCTATGTTATCGCTGAGCTAAGCTTGGATATTTTTTTTTATTTCATCCGGACGAAGTCGCGAGCAACAACTAGTATGTTAAATTACACTGACCAATATATTTCTTAAATATCTGGTTACGCTGTATTTTCTAGAAATTAAAAAACTTCTGTTTAATTTTTATTTAAGATTAGCTGTTGCCCGCGACTTCGTCCGCCTGGTATTAGAAAATATACGAACCATATAAACTACAAAAAGCTACGTACCCCGGGAACCGGACATTTCTCGGGGATGAAGCTTATCTCATGTGTACTCCACACTTTGTTTTATATCTGTGACAAATTTCAATAAGATATGTTGAACCGTTGCAGAATGATCGAGTAAACATTAAAAAACTAAACTAATAAATCCCACGGGAACCGTAACTATTCCCGGGATAAAAAGTAGCCTACGTGTTCTTCCAGACTATGTTCTGAACCTGTGCCAAATTTCATGGAGATCTTATCAGCAGTTTAGGCTACAACCGCTAACAAACATCCATTCAAACCTTAGCATTTATAATATTTTTTTTTTCAGATAAATACGAGTCTTGTGAGGAAACTGAATACATTAATTGGGTGAAATCAACAACGAGTTATTTAGACGCGGATTCCGGTAATTCCGATACCGATATTTCCGAATCCGGTAATGAACAAGAAAGTGAAACTGATGATGAAGAACAAACAGCGATGGCGAATAAATTCGCCGCTTTGGCGAATGTTGAATGAAGATTTGATGAAACGCACATTTGACACAACTGTTTAGTCTCGCTTTGATTTTATTTTATTTGTGCAACTAAACAGTTGAAGCGAAATAATCGACAATAGGGAATATGCATGTATTTTTTTCTTTTTTTAAACGATTCTACTTGTTATAAAATAACCACAAAAAATTGACGCGAAAATATTCAACCATTGGGCTAAAAATAACAAAATAAAATTACGACCATTTTTGAGCGACTAAAACGCGACCGGAGTTGTCATGAGACGATTGACGTCAATCGTCTTATTCCATTCATAACATACGCTCTGATGTCACTTCGACGTAAAACACAAGTTTCTCAAGGTCAAAAAGTCAAAAATCGATTCATTTTTATTATTCTTGGTACAAATAAGTGGTAATTAATAATTCTATTCATTATTTTTTTATTTTAAAGTTGGTTTTGATATCGTGTTTACAGTAAAATACTTCAAGAGTGTATTTCTATATAAACTAAGGTAAATGAACTGTGTATTGTGAACACAGCGGCGCCATATTAGATAAGCCACTTGCTTCGACCAATAGTGTGCGTTTTAGAACTTAGCGAGGGAATTTGAAAAAAGACACTTTTTAATTATTAAATTTTCCCACTAAATCACTTTATATTTAAAAAAATCTTTGCAGGACTGTTTTCATAGTATAAAGTATACTTAAAAAAAGTTTAGTACAATTTGGCGTCATATGCATATTGCCTATCGTAGTTTTGCGATAGTTTAGTCAAATGTGTGCGACCGTTTAATGCAGAATTAACAATAAAAAAAATTTGTTCGAATTTAAATGCATCTATTACTAATGTTATATTTTAAAGATATAAAAGCAAATACGCTCGAGTCCAATTTTTGACCGACTTCCCAAAAGAAGGAGGTACTCAATTCGTCTGTATACCTTTTTTATTTTTTTTTGTCTAATTTTTGGAGTCAGACTACGTTGTAGTTAAATAGTTTAGCTCAAAATCGCGTGAAGAAAATTGGGATCTTTTATTAATCTAAGAATTTTGGTATTCTTAGTTTAAATTTTGATCAGAATCTAAGCGTATTTGCTTCTATACCTTATTACCTCGCGTTATCGTTTTTACCCATTTAACGAAATATCGTAGAATGTTGAAATATAAAAATATGCTTTTAGTTATTAGGCTTATATTTTTATATTTATAATAAAAAATATTTTTATAACTGTGTTTTATTTAATTTTTAATACATAACTGTTAGAGTCGATAAAAATATAACAACAAACTGACTCAAAAACTACTTGGTAGTTTTTCATTTAAAAAATGTCAACATTTCCATACAAAGTTGCTAATATTCCTATTAATATAAACTAGTTTTCGCCCGCGACTCGCGTGTGGAATTTAAAAAAAAGTGAACAGCCTGTGTTCTAGACTATCTACGTCTATACCAAATTTAATAGAGATCCGTTCAGTAGTTTAGGTTACAAACTCTAACAAACATCCATTTAAACTTTCACATTTATAATATTAGATGTGTTATGCGACGATGGGGACATAATCCAGAAAGTCTTAAGATTGAATGTGGATGGCTACAAAGGAAGAGGAAGACCGAAGAAAGTATGGATGTGTGAAAGAGGATATGCTTAAGAAGGGAGTGGATTCAGAGATGACTGATAGAGATGTATGGAAGAGCAGCATATACTGTGCCGACCCTCTTTAAGGGATAAAGGCAAGTTTGTATGTTTGTTTGTATCCTAAACTGCTGGGATCTCGTTGATTGTTATACATGTAGAGAATAGTCTGAACACGTAAAATGCTATTGTTTTGTTTTTACTTCCGAGAGAACAAAAGCAAGTAATGTAATAATAAAATTATTTGTAGCTCTAAAAACGACAATAGTTCATAAAAAGTTACTGAAACTTCGGAGGTAGAATAGTTTCAAATAACACATGAGATACTATAGTTATTCAATCTTTTTTTAAATTCTGGACAGAAGTCGCTAGTAAATAACATTCTAAATCACTAATCAATGCGAATGTTTGAATGGATGGATGTTAGAAGGTATCTACATCGAGACCTAGGATACCTAATAATAAACATAGAACTATTCTAGAAGACCACGTCATAAAGTTGCCCTTGTCCCTACAGAAGGTCGGCACAATATATTCCATACATCTCTAGCAGTCATATCTGAATCCACTCCTTTAAGCATATCTTTTACACAATCCATATATACATTGTCTTCCTCTATCTTTGTCATCCACATTCAACTTGACACTTTCTTGTCACTATCCTCTCGTACATGTCAATCACGCTAACTTTTTGCTTCTCAATATCTCAACCACTGGCTACTACTTTTTTTAATTCCCGAAGTCGCAAGTATCAGCTAGTAAATATAATCTCGGTTTGCAATAGAATATAGCATGTCCCTGCATTATGTCAGGAATGTACAAGCTAGCGAGAGGCTTGTAAGAAGCCTGCTTGCAACTTCCACAATGTTTAATTTCATGCTACGTGTAAGTTGATGTAAACTTTATGGCATGGCATGTCACGCCAGTAGCTGTCATGTTTGTTAGGTTTAACTGGAATGTGTATTTGAGACTTAGCAGTTGCGCGGCCGGAGTTAGAAGCGGAAAATGGGTCGAGGTATTGATTTGTTACATGTTTTTTTGGATTCTGCGTACTGAAGATGTGAATCTTTCCCAATTGGTGTCAACAGATGACGTTATGTTATTTATTTTCATGATATCGTTTAGCCATCTCCGTTATATGAGTTAGGGCTGTTATTAAACGAAATCTATTATTGCAATACGAGAATAACGCGTGATTAGTTTGTAAGTTTTTTTTATAATTTTTGTAAGTCTCGCCGATAAGGCGGGACAAAAAATTAAATGAACTTCGAGGTTCAACTGAACCTTGTCTATATGGAAAACTGTGCGCCACTTCGCGTGGAATGCGTTAGTTTTTCATGTATGATACGGCTTCAAGAGTAGAGCACTCTAAGTGCCTTTCTAATCATCGTGGTAAAACGATGGTTAATTTTTTTTTAAATCACAAGGTGGTAAAAGAGCAAGCGGCCACGTGAAACCGCCAATGGCAAAGCCACTGCTGCTCATAGTCATCTGGACATTTGCAATAACGGGTGCGTTGCCTATCCTTGATCAACGGAGGAGACGCACATAAAGAGAATATTTTCCCTTCCTATGCGTCTCCTGCACCGTTAAATCCACGTCCCCTTCCCATGCTTTTCGTATTAGAAAAATGATGGAAAGGAAAAGCGACTAAAGTTAGGCCTCTGGCACAATACTCATCAGACGAAACGCGGAATTGCTCCCACTTCACGCCTTTCTGTGTGGTCGTGGTATTGCTGTGGGCGAACCGACCCATTCGTGCAAAGATGTTAAAGCGGGCTACCACTGTTGAAATTATTTATTTTATTTATTGTGGATTACAAATCTGTCCAACGAATATTTCGGGACATAAGTGTTCAGACGTTATATTCCTGTACTTTTTTTGTTTAATTGTTCGATAATTTAGTTCAATGTGGGGCGTAAAAGGTCGATACTAAAAAAACAATGCACATTCAAAAATGTTTATTTCACATACAGATAATACAGAAAAAAGCCTAAGGCCACAGATTAGATAAAAATCCACAGTTGTGGTGACGCAATTTACAAACACGGCCCAAAAAGGTTTTCTACTATTCTTATGTAAATATAAGCTTTAGATTTGGTTTCATTGTTTTTTTCAATAAAAATGACTTTTTTTTTTAAGAAAAAGACTGTTTCATCTTTGATTTTATATAGACGTAAAAATAAAAAAAAATATTTTCACGTCCATGTTAGTGTTAGAATTTAAAACATTTCGATATTTGAGGAGTATACTCTTAGCACATATTAAAAAATGTATAGTCAAGTTCAAAATAAATGAGAAATTAACAATTTCATTGTCTATGGATTTATTTTGTGGTTAAAGAAATATCTATGTCTGTAATAAGTCTGTGACAGCCTCATAAAAGACAATTTAGATATTACATAGATTTGTTATTTCTCATTTCTATTGATTTTTAGGGACAAATAAGCCAGTATCTTAAGTCAATTATTATATTGCACTAATTTAATACTAATACACATAAAAGATATACTCTAATAGTTTGGAAATAGACGGAAAAATATGAAAAGTTAGTTTTTTGGTTTGAAAGAATTTATGTCGATGAAATAACCTATAATTTGACAAATATTTTAATTTAGTATTATAATACAAAAATCGAAATAAATTGACTATAAAATTTATTCTACAATTCAATTTTTAACTTCAACTTTTATAGTATATTTTTGTTACACATTTTTTTCGATTTTTCCAAATTTATTTTATAATTTAATTAATAAATAATAATTTTAACTATGTTATAATTTTAATGACGAAATATATACCGCCAAAAACCATAAACTACTTACTATAAGCATCAAAGAAAATACTTAATAAATACAGAGATTTGGAACTTTGTTAATACAAACTTACGTGAATAAGTGTAGACAGATCTTGAAGTAATTATTAACGTTAGAGAAAAAGATTATTAATAATTTCCACTAGAATTATTATTGTTCACTAATTATTCAACGTTTTTTATTAATTAATTACGCTAACTGTTTGCGTAATGCGCGCGCGATTGATTTAAACTGATTTCCAAGATGGCCGCTCGCCATAGACTAGACAAACTATTTATTTTATTTAAGCGTGCTTAAAAATGGTTATTTTGGTAGAAACTTCAATTTCCCTAGACAAAAAATCTATACTAATATTATAAAGAGGAAAGATTTGTATTTTTTTGTATGAATGAATGAAGAATGATTTGTATGAATGAGAAAAACTACAGGGCCGAATCTAAAAATTCTTTCACTGTTAGAAATAATTAATCTGCGAGTAACATAGGCTACATTTGTTATTATTTTTTTTATTTTACGCGGGCGAAGTCGCGAGCAACAGATGGTTTTATATAATTAAAAAAAATAATTTTGGAAAAATTAACATACAATATTGTTTTGTTCTCAATATGAAAGAATATCGAAAAAACTTGGAAATTTCGCTTATTGGTAACTCTAAAAACTAGAAGGCGCTCTTTCAAAGTCAAAAAACCGTCACAATTTCCTTGTAAGTCTATATTTTTATTTAGTTACAATAAACATTAATAGCATCATACAGACAGATATTTTCACTATACATAGATATTTTTCATAACAAAAAAAAAAACGAAAAAAACACACTATTTAGTTAAAACACTAATTTCTTGCGTCATAGCTTGCATTGTAATACTATTTCTTAATATTTTAACCTATAGATTTATAATTTATGGAGTTTACAAATTTATTTAATAAATCAAATCTATTTTGAGGCAAAAAAGACCTTCGGAGGCTCAATTTTATGCCCCGGATTATTTATAGATTATACATCTATATTTTGGGTGTGTATCAAATAAATTTATATTAGTTTCCTCTATTTTTTTAATATATTATTATTGCAAATAATTTTAGAAACAGTTGCATTTCTGTGATTTTTTCCCCATTATATATTCGCAGATTCAAGTCGATGGCAGATATGGAAATAGTTGCGTAATACGTCCGATGGCTCTGAAAATTAGAAAAAAAAAATTAAAAAGGTGACATTTCACACAGATATATTTAAATTTGGATCCTGTTGGTTATAGTCAATCGTCTGTATCCATACTATTTTAAGTAAGAATTGTATTTTTCTATGTATTGAAATAACTCAAATACTGAACCGATTTTAAAAAACTCTTTCGCCATTAAACAGCTACGTTATCAGTGAGTAACATAGGCTGTATTTTCATATTTTTTTTATTTCACGCAGGCGAAGTCGCGAACAACTAGTGAGTCAATGTAATTAAATGAATTGCCAATAGATTTATTTAAATAAAAAGATGGAACTGTTTATATTATAGTCAAATCTATACTATTATAAAAAAAGCGTAAACACCCACTTCTTTGTTGCCTAAGATGTCAGCAATTACAACATATTTTTGAATAATTCTTCTTTTAATAAAAAGCCCTATACTTACGTCACGCTTTAGGCTATATATTTTCACGCCATTAATCTTAGGGGGTAAATATTTTGAATAAAAGCCCCAATGTGGGAAAGAGACCATAAGTTGCTGCCAACATTAAGGAAGCAAGGTTTGCCATGGTTTGACATAGTCATGTCATTTTGACATTTGCAATTCATAATTTGACATATGTAAGCAATAACATAAAGTTTTAATAAAAAATGCATAGAAATGCGAATGATGCCGCACGGGAACAGCTAGTGTTTTATAACTATTATTATGTAAATACAAACACACTAAATGACATTAAACATGACAACATAGTACCTTCCAAAGAAGTTACCGGTGACAAAATGTAGTTAATGTCTAGTCTATACATTTTTTATTTTCATCTTTTACCTTAGGTTCTTAAACCTTTAGGTTTGTTGCACCTTGTACATTCTCAGTGGGTAGTTTACATTTTTTCTGCGACAGATACGCCTTACACGTTGCTATACAAACTAGAGACTTACAGTTTGTCTAAATAAGATAAATTAGTTTGACAAATAATGCATATGAAGTAACGAATTAAATTTGTATGAAGGCAAATGCACTACTTAATAGACAGGTATCGTAGTGACGAAACACGCAGCGAACAATTATGAACTATCGATATTTGGTTTAAATAAAATTATTTTCTTATTAACTAATTTAGATGACAATTCTAGTATTGATTATAGTGTAGAGAATTTAGCGATGACAGAAATAATAGCGAAATCCAATTCGATTATGTACGGCTGTAGTAGTAATAAACATTTATTTACTCTCATTATTTGTATTGGTTTTGCAAGTCATTATTAATTTGAGAAAACAGTGTTTTTATAATTCATAAGTTATAACTACGAATCTGTCTATTTCAACTTCTATGAGTAAAAATCGAAAATCGATAAGATGACTGATTTTATACAACCCATCCCTACTAAATTGTCGAATGAATTGTCAAACTAATCATCTTATTTAGACAAAGTATAAAATAATTTGTGTTCAATGTGTTTAGAACTTGACTTGTAATCTACAGGTTTTCATATGTACATAATTTACCCGACGTTCTTACGGTGAAGAAAAACATCCTGATGCCTGCACATATCGACGAAGAAATTCAAAGATATGTGTGAAGTCAACCCGCAGTGCAGCGCGGTTGACTATGGCCTAGTCACCCCTCATTAGGGTAGGCTCCGAGCCCCTCGGTGGGGACGTAGTGAGCTGGTGACGTGACGTGGATTGTTTAGATGAGGAGCATTGCGCTGATGGTGTACCTGGTGCCGAGTCCTGCGGTGAAGAGCATGCGGCGGCCCTTCACCAGGTACTCGGGGCAGCGCGCGAAGCGGAACACGACGGGCGCGCTCTCGCCCGCGCGCAGCTCGCCGTTGCCGCACATTATACCCTGAAAACGAATTATATTATCATATATCATTATTTACTTACTAGCTTCCGTCCGCGTTAAATTAAAAAAAAAACATACAGACGAAGTGAATACCTCCTTCTTTTGGGATGTCGGTCAAAAAGTAGTCGTGTTCTTTTAGAATATCCTCTACAACTATGCCAAATTTAATTGAGATCGGTTCAGCAGTTTAGACTACAAACTCTAACAAACATCCATCCATCGTAACTTATTAGTAATATTAGACAACTTATTTAATTGATACTGTCGCTTTAAACTCATAGTAATACTTCTCGCCAGACTTAGGATGCGCGCCAAATCTATCCATACTTCTAGTGACATTGACAGCTGTCAGCTAGGGAAGTGACGTTTATGCCGATAATATAGAGTTGCGCCAATACAATAGCACGGTACTAATTTTGTTCCTAACAGTAATATTATAAATGTGAAAGTTTAGATGAGGGGTATGAATGGATGGATGGATGTTTGTTAAGAGTTTGTAGCCTAAACTGCTGAACGGATCTCTATGAAATTTTGCATACATGTAGAGGATTGTTTGAAAGAACGCATAGGCTATTTGGTTTTGTTTTTTTTTATTACCACGCTGACGGAGTCGCGGGCGAAATATAGTATTTGTATAAAATACAACGTATTATATATAAAACTAACTATTCATCGCCATGAAAATATAAAAACTTAATCATATTGTTTACATTTGTCAAATTCTCAATTGCAAATGTCAAAATTACCGTTACAATAATAATATTGTTTCCTTAATGTTGGCAGCTTGTCGTTTATGGTCCCATTCCCACATGAAGGTTGTGTTCCAATTTATTTACCCTCAAACTTTAATAGCCTTAAAAAAAATAGCATAAAGCGTGTAAGTGTAGGGTTTTTAATTAAAAAAAAAATAAAAAAAAAATACTGTGATTGCTGACATCCTGCGTCACAAAGTAATGTTTACGCTTTATTATATTAATATAAGAAATTAGTGTTAGTATATTTACCTCAATAATGGCTGTCTGTCGTACATTGCCGACGTGCACGGAGCATTGAAAGCCGGGGGATATCGCAGTGGAGTGTCGCAGCACGTGGACTGTCGCCTGAAATATTATTTTATATACATATTAGCTACTAGCTGTTCCCATGCGACTTCATCCGCATGAAATTATAAAAATTTCATTTTATTGTTTACATTTGTCAAATAATCAATTACAAATGTCAAAATAACATGACATGACAAACCTTGGCAATCTTGCTTCCTTGATGTTGGAAGCAACTTATGGTCTCTTTTCCACATTAGGGTTTTTATCCTTAATATTTACCCCTAAGTTTAATTGTGTTAAAATATATAGCCTAAAGCGTGACGTAAGTGTAGGGCTTTTTATTTAAAATAGAGTTATTCGAAAAAATGCTGTAATTGCTGACATCTTAGGCAACAAAGAAGTGTGTGTTTACGCTTTATTATAATAGTATAGATTAGCTATTTCCCGCAACGACCGCGTGAAATAAAATAAAGAAGTAAATATCCTATGTGTTCGAGACTATCCTCTACATGTATTAAAATCATCGAGATCCAAGCAGTTTAGGATACAAACATACATATAAACTTTCACATTTATAATATAATATTAGTACGAAAGTGGGATATTGGTCAAGTCAAAAAAATAAATATAGTGAGAAGTAAAATAAACCAGCTGTAGTCCGAACTATCATACTAATATTATAAATGCGAAAGTTTAGATGGATGTTTGTTAGAGTTTGTAGCCTAAACTGCTGAAGGGATTTCGATGAAATTTGGTATAGATGTAGAGGATAGTCTGGAAGAACACATGGACTACTCACTTTCTTTAATTCTTTAATTACTCGCGAACGGAGTCGCGGGCGACAGCTAGTATTAAAAATAATAAGATATGTTCTTCCGGACTAAATTCTACATCCAACATCCATACAAACTTTCACACTTATAATGTTAGTAAGAAGTAAGATATGACCAAAACATTATCTTTGTTCTTCAAAGCAATGGCAGTTTAGATGGTTCTTTACTAATTATAAAGAGAAAGGATTGGATTTTTGTACGTATTGTAATAACTTAAAAACTACTGGGCAGATTAAAAAAAAATCACCTTTATAAAGATGTCAGTAACATAAGCTATGATTTTTAATTCAACGCGGACGAAGTCGCGAGCAACTACTAGTAATCCATAAATGGAGTTCATACAAGACTAATTTAGATGTTATTTTCCTATTATTTTGCCTTTTAAATGACAACACCAAGAAATTAACCCTAAGAAGCATCCGAAGACCTTTTTATGCCTCACTTTTATGCCCCGTATAGGTTATCTATAATAATTTTTTTTTTCTAGTAAGTAAATATTTTTAATTACCTGGAAATACAGGCATCCTCTCGGGTCGTTAGGATCTTCTAGAGGGAGCTCGTCACCGCACACGCATCTCACATCCACGTTCTGGTTTGTTTCTATCTTCTCACCGTCACTTTCAGACCTATAAATATACCACAAATTATTTAAACTTCACTATAACGTTATCCATACCTCCATATAACGTGAAAATTATCTATACTTCTATACTATTATAATAAAGCGTAAACACACACTTCTTTGGTTGCGTAAGATGTCAGCAATTACACCATATTTTTGAATAATTCTTTTTGTAATAACAAGCCCTACACTTACGTCACGCTTTAGGATATATATTTTAACGCTATTAAACTTAGGGGGTAAATATTTTGGATAAAAACCCTAATGTGGGAAAGAGACCATAAGTTGCTGCCAACATCAAGGAAGCAAGATTGTCATCATGTCATGTCATTTTGACATTTGTAATTTGACAAATGTAAACAATAAAATAAAATTTTCCTAATTCGCACGGGAACAGCTAGTGTAGTATAAAGGAGGATTTCTATAAAGCCATCAACCGCGTTATAGGGGATTTACTGAATAATCTATACTAACAAAAAAAAAACTCGACTGATTGAGACTCGAATAAAAATAATTAGCGCCATATAATATTACATTTAAAAACAAATATTAACAAAAGTAAATTAATTTAATAATTTGTAGACTGTATTTTGAAGAAAAAAAAAATACTATAACCAGATCTGGGGTTTACAATATAGCGAGTTTGTTTGATCAAAACTTGAAAAAATTACATTTAATGGGTTGACGTAAAAATGTTTGAGAATCCCTGGAAATTGATATATCTCTACTAATATTATAAACTAGCTTTCGCCCGCGACTCCGTCCGCGCGGAATTAAAAAAAATGCAAGTATGTATTCTTCCAGACTATCCTACATCTATGATAAATTTCAGAGATACGTTCAGTAGTTTAGGCTACAAACTAACAAACATCCATCTAAACTTTCGCATTTATAATATTAGTGTAGGATAAGGAGGTTAGATATGTTTTCTTTTTAATTGATTTCGAATTTGATATTTTGACATTGGTTTTTAAAATTAGTTTGGAATAAGAGAAGAAAAATAAACATACAGACGAATTGAGTACCTCCTTCTTTTGGGGAGTCGGTTAAAAAGAATAACGAGGAGGATGAAGATGTGTTTTGGAAAAAGTGTGTAGATATTAAAAAACAGTAAATAACGAGCTTATTTAAAAAAAAAATATATGTTTGTTATAGTTTTTAGCCTAAACTGCTGAATAGATTTCGATGAAATTTGGTATAGATGTAGAGGATAGTCTGGAGGAAGACATAGGCTACTTCCATTTTTTTTTAATTTCACGCGGAGGGTATCGCGGGCGAAAGTAAGTTACACTATTAATACTTGCCTATAAATATTCCCTTCTTCTATATTATCTCTTGCTTTAGCGAGAGAATTTTCCACATTAGCAATATCTTGTAACAAATTCTTGTTTTTCCTGCGCACGTTTTTACGATTCTTCGTATCGTTTGATTGTGAATTATGCAGTACTTTTGGTATCTGGAAAAAAAATACAATTTAGATTATCTCCTGTGCATATTAAAAAAACATTATTTCAATGTACTTTTCTAAAACTTTCAAAATTTAAATATACAAATGACAATTATGGATTTTGCTAACAAATACCGTTACCACTGTAACTTTGTTTCTTTGTTGGCTTGTATTTTTGTCCCTTTTAAGCATTACAAATTTCTTTTGCAATTTATTCACCCTCTAAACTATAGTCTGGCGTACAGTAGCCACTTTGAGACAAAGGACAAGTTTTTGAGATTTTGAGCACGTGCCTGAAAGAATTGACACTTGTCTACTGTTTGTAGTTTTTTTTTTTTATAGAGGGAAAAATTCTTTACACGTGTCTAAGATAGTGGGCACGTCTTTGAGACAATGGGCCTGCCCCTGTTTGAGACAATTTGAGACAATAGGCACGTGTCGACTGACAAGTCTCTGAGACAGGGAGCACGCGTCCGAGAGAATAGGCATGTGTCTGAGACAAAGTGCACGTGTCTGAGCCTGCCTGGTGTCTGAGAAAGGGATTACGGGTCTCGATAGTGGGCTCGTCTTTATGACAGTGGGCACGTGTCCGAGAGAATAGGGACGTGTCTGAAACAGTAAAAACGTCTATGAGACAATAGGCACTTGTCTGAGACAATTTGAGACAATAGGCACTTGTCTGCGACAATGGGCACGTGTCAGTGTACTGACCCCGCTGGCGCAGCGCGTGCAGGTGCCGAAGGTGGGCCTGCGGCGCGGCGCGGCGTAGCCCGGCGGCGGGGTGAGCAGCACCATGCCTTGGCGCAGCGCGGGTGCTCCGCCCAGGCCCAGGCTGGCGCTCTGCCCCGCGCGCACGCCGCCGCACGGCACGCGGTTCCGGTAGATACTCCGCACTGATGTCGGCACGAACTCACCGTTCTCTAATGGACCTGCGGGTATAAGTTATTAACGTCAAGGGCGGCATGTTTTTTTTTAATTCCTACATATCTATATTTAAACATATAATAAAATTGGAGTGTCTGAATTAAAGTAATGACGTCAAGGGCGCTAATTTTTTTATATATTATCTATAAAAAGGAAGAGGAAGACCGAAGAAAGTATGGATTGATTGTGTGAAAGAGGATATGCTTAAGAAGGTGGATTCAGATATGGCTGATGAAGATGTATGGAAGAGCAGCACTCTGCCGACCGTCTATAAGGGATAAGGGCAAGCTGATGACACACTTCTTTGTTGCCTAAGATGTCAGCAATTAGAGCATATTTTTGAACATTTCTTTTTTAAATAAAAAGCCCTACACTTACGTCACGCTTTAGGCTATACATTTTCACGCCATTAAACTTAGGGGGGTAAATATTTTGGATAAAAACCTAATGTGGGAAAGAGACCATAAATTGCTGCCAACGTTATGTTACGTCATGTCATTTTGACATTTGCGATTGATTTTATAATTCCATGCGGATGAAGCCGCATAGGAACAGCTAGTCTATACATATAATAAAATTGCAGTGTCTGTTTGTAATATCAAAAGAAAAATTCCACATTTCGAGTAGATGATGTATTTGCGTTGCTGATAACGAAAATCGTATTTAAAATATTTGTCTGTCTGTCTGTTTGCAAGGCGCATTTGTTCCGGATAATCTCCGAAACGTCTGGGCCAATTTCGACCAGACTTTCACAGGAGGGTAGCTGACATAGACGGGAATATTATAGGCTCCTTTTTTTTTTAATTCCACACTATTAAAATGGCATAGTGGATGGTCCAAATTTGCTCAAACGAAGTTTTCGTACAAATAAATAAATATTAAATCATTTTAAGGACATTTTTTTATTAGTTATTTTATAATTTGTTTTAAAAGACGATTATCTTCCTCCTTATCCTACTCCAGTAGTGACGCAACAGGTTTTTGTCCTCCATAACACTATCATACGTCATCTCAGTCACTCCCTTCATCATGTCACCTTTCACACAATACATCCATCTCTTTCTACCTCTACCTCTAATATTTTAAAAGGCGATATTACCTATAATAAGGTTATCTCCCTCATACAGCTGTCCCCTGGCGAGGAGTCCCCCGACAACCGGACCACTGTCTCCTACATGGAAGATCTCGTCGATTTGAAATTCACACGGCTCCTGCAATATTACACAAATCTACATTTTTTATACCCTACTAGCTGTTGCTCGCGACATCGCCCGCGTGAAATTGAAATATAGCCTATATTACTCACAGATAAATTACCTTTCTAATGGTGAAAGAATTTTTAAAATCGGCCCAGTAGTTTTTGAGTGAATCAAATACATACAAAAATAGACACAGACGCTAAGATGTTAAAGCGGGCACTACCACAGACAGTGGTAGTGCCCGCTTTAACATCTTAGCAGTGCAGGGCCGGCACGCCCCCAGTAATACCACGACCACACAGAAGACAGACGTGAAATGGAACCAATGCCGTGTCTCGTCTGATGAGTGTGGTGCCGGAGGCCTAATTTAAGTCCCATTCTCTTTACCACCCTTTCCTTATGAGAGGATGGGAACGGGAAGTGGATTCGACGATGGAGTAGATGCATAGGAAGAGGAAATATCCTCTTTATGTGCGTCTCCTCCTCCGTCGGATAAGAGTAGGCGACGCATCTGCAATTGCAGATGTCTATGGGCAGCGGTCGTTTCGCCATTTTGGCGGATTCAGGTGGCCGCTTGCTTGTTTGCCATCTTATGTTATAAAAAAAAATACAAAGTTTTCCTCTTTATATTATTAAGTATTGAAAACGGCAATGTTACAAATCCTTTTTTTATATCATAAGGTGACAAACGAGGAAGCAGCCACATAAATCCGCCAAACTGGTGAAGCGACTGCCCATAGACATCCGCAGTAGCGGATGCGTTGTCTACCTTTAATAGACGGAGGAGACGCACATAAAGAGGAAATTTCCCCTTCCTATGCGTCTCTTGCACCGTCAATCCACGTTCCCTTTCAGTATACAATGGGGTTAAATTGTATACAATGCGGTAAGATATGTATACAATGCGGTTAAATAGTATACAATGCGATAAGACTAGTATACAATGCGATAAGACTACTATACAATGCGGTTAAATAGTATACAATGCGATAAGACTAGTATACAATGCGGTTAAATTGTATACAATGCGGTGAGGTTTGTATTCAATGCGGTTAAATAGTATACAATGCGATAAGACTAGTATAGAATACGGTTATATTGTACACAATGCAGTTAAATACAAACGGGGTGTACTGACATCATCCTGCGGCGGCTGCACCTCGGGCAGCGGCGGCTGCAGCGCCAGCAGGTAGGCGTGCAGCGCGTTCAGCCCCGCGCCGCGCACGCAGCTCACCGGGAACACCGCCACGCGCTCCACCGCACTGGAATAACACATTATAGTTTGTCTAAATAAGATAATCTTAACAGTGGTAGTGCCCGCATAACATCTTAGCACTGCATGGCCGGCACGCCCACAGTAATACCACGACCACACACAAGACAGGCGTGAAGTGGAAGCAATTCCGTGTTTCGTGTGATGAGTGTGGTGCCGGAGGTCTAATTTTAGTCCCTTTCCCTTTCCACCCTTTTCATAAGAGGAAAGGATGGAAAGGAAAAGTGGATTTGACGGTGGAGGATACGTGGTGATGAAGAAATTTCCTCTTTATATGCGTCTCCTCCTCCGTCATTGAAGGGTAGGCAGCGCATCTGCAATTGCGGATGTTTATGTGCAACGGTCGCTTTCCATTTTAGTGGATTCAGGTGGCCGCTTGCTTATTTGTCACCTTATATTATAAAAAAAAAACCTTAATTTTTTTTTAATATTTGTAATCTTTTGTTAATTCACTAACTACTAGGCCGATTCATCACGAAAACTCACCCATCATCTTTCTTCTCTTCGTCATCAGAACACTTATCTATAGAGTCGAGTATGGAGTGCTGCGGCGCGACGCAGCTGCGAGCCATGTTCTCGTCAGTTATCAACACTGCCTTCTGCCGAAATAACATGTATAATTATAAAATACATAATCATCATCATCACCAGCTCACTATACGTCCCCACTGAGGGCGGAGCCTACCCTAAGTAAGGATGACTAGGCCATAGTCAACCACGCTGTACTGCGGGTTGGTTGACTTCACACATATCTTTGAATTCCTTCGCCGATATGTGCTGCATCACGATGTTTTCCTTCACCGTAAGAACGTCGGGTAAATTATGTACATATGAAAATTCGAAAAATCGAAAATCACAGGTACAGCGGGATTTAAACCCAAGACCTGTAGATTACAAGTCAAGTGCTTAAACCACTGAGCCACCGACGCTGCTTTACATGCAACTATATTTATATAAAATAGATGAAACTGCATATTCATTAGATGAGCACAGATTATACAGAAATATGGAATTACCAGTAAATGCCATACTTTAAGACATTAAAAAAATACAGACGAGAATAAACAAAATTTCCACCGGTACTTTCTCCGACAGGTACTATATCAGTTGTCAAGTTTAGTGCCGTGTATTGACGTGAAATAAAACATTTAACTAAATTATAATAAACTCCATCTTTATCATAAAATAAATTAAACAGTGTTACAAATTAAAATATAAACATTTAATAATATCTATTGGTAATTAATTTAAATACAATTAATTAAATTGACATGTAGTTGTGAGGATTTAACAACATATAGTGAGATTATGTGAACTATGTCTCCTCTATACAATATTGAATATCTTTGTAATTCAACAAAATGGCTAACAAAGTCGTTTTATATTCAATAATGTAGGCGCCTATGTCACCTTCATATGGATCCCTAATGATCGACTACGGACATCACTAGCAACAGAGACACACGGACATCCCTATTGTACATTCATTCGCTCTCTTGCACTTAGTCTGTCGATCTGTCCAATTCAATCATTGTTAATACAACCAAAATGTAACAAATACATCATTACATTCATATATAATTAGAGGCATACACAAATAAAAATAAATATAAACATAATTCAAAGAAAAATAAATTGTATAATCATACAAATAAGATGTATTATTTACCATGTAACAAAACAAGATGTATACATGTTGGAGTTTTTATATGTTTGTATACTGGCAGGCAACACTGTACACACAGATGATGGTTTTTAATATTAGAATAATATATTTTAAATTATAAAGAATTGTATATTTGATGTTTTATACATTTTGGCTTCATATCTCGACACGTACCAAGAAACATAGTAGGACTTATAGAATTGACTTTGTATATATGATTTTGATATTATAAATATAATGATGATTAACTAGATGAAGAAAGTGTTTCAATAGCCCCACACCTCCAGAGCCTCGGACGGAGAAAAGTAACCGTCCAACAATACATAATACAAAAAATAAGATGTATAATTGAAAATAAAATGTATACAATACCTTTTTAACTGTATTCTCTCGTTCTGGAGCCAGCAGGTCCTGCAGGCGCTGCAGCAGCGGCCGCACATTGGCGGGGCAGAGCTCGCACTTGCTGATGACAGCAAAGAACGGCAGCTCTAACGCCGTCAGTAGCGCGATGTGCTCTTCTGTGATACGAGTGATGCCAGCGGTTGCTGATATCTGAATATGTCATCATCATCATCACCAGCTCACTATACGTCCCCACTGAGGGGGGAGTATACCCTAAGTTAGGTTACTAGACCATAGTCAACCACGCTAAATGTGTCACTAGTATTTTAAATGCATATCTATTCTATTGTTTTATTATTAAACTACGAGCTGTTGCCCGCGACTTCGTCCGCGTGGTATTAGAAAACATAGGAACTATATAAATTACAAAAAGCTACGTATCCCGGGAACCCGACATTTCTCGGGGATGAAGCTTATCCCATGTGTACTACAGACTTTGTTTTATATCTGTGACAAATATCAATAAGATATGTTGAACCGTTGCAGAATGATCGAGTAAACATTAAAAAACTAAATTATAAATAAATCAATAAAGTAGGCGCGCGTAGTAAATTAACGAATCCCACGGGAACCGTAACTATTCCCGGGATAAAAAGTAGCTTATGTGTTCTTCTAGACTATGCTCTAAACCTGTGCCAAATTTCGTGGAGTTCCATTTAGCAGTTTAGGCTACAAACTCTAACAAACATCCATCCATCTAAACTTTCGCTATTTATAACATTAGTAAGATTAAACGATTGCTCGAGAAAATGCACGGCGTATATTCAATGAACACAAGAGAAGAGGAAGTTACAAAAAGTGTTGCCACTAAAAACGTTATGGTTGCGTTCTTAACTATTTCAAACAACTATTATAATAAAGCGTAATCACAGTTCTTTGTTGCCTAAGATGTAATCAATTATAGCATATTTTTGAATAATTTTCTTTTTAATAAAAAGCCCTAAAATTGCGTCACGCTTTAGGCTACATATTTTAACGCCATTAAACTTTGGGGGTACAAATTTTGGATATAAACCCTAATGTAGGAAAGAGACCATAAGTTGCTGCCAACATAGAGAAGCAAGATTGCCAAGGTTTGTCATGTCATGTCATTTTGACATTTGCAATTGATAATTTGACAAATGTAAACAATACAATAAATTTTTCACGATTTCATGCGGCTGAAGCCGCACGGGAAAAACTAGTTATTTATAATAGCCGAAACCAAAAACAAAAGCTAATTTAAACGTCATTGAATAAAAAAATTAGTATTTTTCAAAAGTCAACATCGTGTTCTAAGTTGAGTCCAACGCCATCTATCGACACTGACCACAATCATGGCGTAGTGCGGCGAGTACCCGCTGAGGCCGTGCAGCGTCGTGCGCTGGTACTTCGTGTGCCCCGCCAGGTCCAGGAACGACACCAGCTTGGCACTCCTCTCTCCTATACGCTCCGCCGTCATCAACTCTGAACATCCATAGTTCACTACATTACCCTGGAAAAAAAAAATTAATAAAACATATACCTTAATGACCAATTCACACTTATCCAGCACAGTACAATTTTAATTTTTATTAGACACGAACGGAGTCGCGGGCAAGAGCTAGTAGGCTATATTTATTAACATCACATCATCATCACCAGCTCACTATAGGTCCCCATCGAGGGGCTCGGAGCCTACCCTAAGTATGGGATGACTAGGCCATAGTCAACCACGCTGCACTGCGGGTTGACTTCACACATATCTTTTGAATTCCTTCGCCGATATGTGCTGCATCACGATGTTTTCCTTCACCGTAAGAACGTCGGGTAAATTATGTACATACAAAAATTCAAAAATACGAAAATACGTAAATCACATTGGTACAGCGGGATTCGAACCCAAGACCTATAGATTACAAGTCAAGTGCTTAAACCACTGAGCCACCGACGCATGTATATACTCGTAGTATATTTATATTTATTTATGCAGAAAAGCATAAATAAATACAAATATGCTATTATACATGTTATTTGGATGGTCCTTCGAGCCGGATATTTCTATTTTTTACTCACCTGAGCATCAAATCCTAGTATTTCATGACTCAGAGACGAAGTACGACCACTTTTAACTTCGTGCAAATGCCGGAACATGTTCAGACGCGCGCTGCCGCGGCCATTGTCCAATTCACCTGAAAAACAGTTTAAAATAACATTAAATTTCATACTTCTCCTTATATCGTTTGATAGGGGTAATCATACTAATATTATAAATCCGAATGTTTAGATGGATGTTTGTTAGAGTTTGTAGCCTAAACTGCTGAACGGATTTGGATGAAATTTGTCATAGATATAGATCACAGTGTGGGTCTTCCAGGCTACCTACTTTTGTTTTATTTTCAATATCACGCGGACGCAGTTGTGGGCAAATGCTAGTTATCTAAAAAATTAAAAACTGAAGAGCGTCAGTGATTCAGAGGTTTGAGCAGTTGACTTGTAATCTACAGGTCCTGGGTTCGAAACCTGCTGTACCAATGTGATTTTCGAATTGGATATGTACAATTTACCCGACGTTCTTACGGTTTAGAAAAACATATCTGCACATATCTGTGAAGAAATTCAAGATATGTGTGAAGTGCAGTGCAGTGGCCAACTTAGGCCAACCCCCTAAGTGGGGATTTATATTAAGATGTAACGATGATATAGGAAATAAATCTCTTTTCATGATAATCCCGCGAGATATCTACCTTAAGCTGAATAGAATTAAATAGTTGGGAGGGATGAATCGTATGTTACAAGGAGAACGTTAGTTATGAGTGAGGTACATCAGTAAAGGTAGACGTAAAAAGAGATGGATGTATTTTGTGGAAGGTGAACAAGAAGGGAGTGATGACTGAGATGTATGATAGATGTGGGGGACAAAACCCTGATGCGCCGACTCCAGGGGAGTAGGATAAGGAGGATGATGATCTACCTACCTTGAGTTAGTACACCTATAAGAGTCGATTTCCCTGCTTCGTTGGCTCCCATCACAGCTATCCTCAGCTCCACGCTCTGCTGAGTGTCAGCCAACTGGAGCAAAACAGTACAATTGCAAAAGGCCGAGAAATCTTGCTTGCGGCGAAATCTGCCCAGCCGTTTTGGAGATTACCTGGAATAAACGCGGCTTGCGGACAGACAGACAGACAAAATTTTTTAAAATGCGATTTTCGTTATCAGCAATACACCATCTTCTCGAAATCTGGATTTTTCCTTTTCATATTACAAACAGACAGTCCAACTTAATTATATGTATAGACGACTGATAATCTTTAAGTTAAAAAACAAAAAAGAGCATATCACGAAAACAAAATATCATTTTGTTTTTTTTTTTATTATTCCTAATTACTAAAAAACACGATAAAGGGGACACTATTGGTCAAAATGAATAGATTTTTTACTTTTTGACCTCGAGAAGCAATGAGATACATACTTTGTTATTTTTTACATCGAAGTGACATCTGAGCGTATGTTATGAATGGAATAAGACGATTGACGTCACGTGTCTCATGACAACTCTGGTCGCTTTTTAGTCGCTCGAAAACGGTCGTAATTTTATTTTATTATTTTTAGCTCAATGGTTGAATATTTTCGCGTCAATTTTTTTCTGGTTATTTTATAACAAGTAGAATCCTTTAAAAAAAGACGAAAAACAAGCATATTCCCTATTATACATTTTTAAATTTGATTTAAAAAAATCTTTAAAGCACTTAACTCACCTTTCGTATATATACTTCAGCGACCGCCCTATGCGGTGCGAGACGGCGTGCCCGAGCGGCGACAGGCGCAGCGCCTAGTGCGGCGGCCATACGGCGTAGCGCACGTAGGCTGGCTCGTAGCGCACGCGCTCGTAGCCCCCGTAGCGCGCCGCAGTCACGCACGCCCACTACGTAGACCGCACTACCCCCGCCAGACCGTAGCCGCCATTTCAACTAACAATCAAACCACTATTAAGGGAAATCGAATAATTATTCCCAACCGTCACCCCGCTCTGTCCCCATTTGAGAATAAAGTTTCATCCGTCCCTACTTTTGCGACGAGGACGGTTGGAACTTATTTTATATCATAACGTTTCCATCTGTCACCTTATTGGTGATTAGTGGGACGGATGAAACTTTTTATTTTCAAGTGTGGACAGAGCGGGGTGACCGTTGGGAATAATCAATATCGAAATAGGCAATATACATGACTCCAAATTGGACGATTTCTTTTGGAAACCAAAGAATAATACTTGATTTTTGAGATCATCCTTGTTTAGACGAATTATAAAAAAAAAAAACTTAGAAACCGTCATACTAATATTATAGGCAATTTCTTTTTATTCCATGCGGACGGAATCGCGGGCAAAAGCTAGTTTAAAATCAGCTTATACATATACCTGTGTGACTAAATGTTGGAATCTTCTCTCGCAGGGCTCAACTAACTGCAGTTTGTACTCGACATTACCAAAGCGGGGCTCCGGAGGTAAACTGCCATAGCATTCCTCACCAGAGTCTTCAGAATCGGTAGTTCTAGAAAAAAACAAAAAACACACTCTAGAACTCGAAAACATCGCTATTATTTATATGGAAAAAAATACGCGCGATAAAACATAGCTTACATACAATTGAAAAAGGTAATAAACAAATTTGGTCCTTCGAGTCGGATAAGTTAATGAAATTAACTATATTACATCTAAAAATTATAGTTAGTTACTGTTTTAATAGTAAAAGTTTTAAGTATAGTGTGTCGGTGGCTCAGGGTTTTGGGCACTTGACTTATAATCTGCAGGTCATAGGTTCGAATCCCGCTTTTTTTCACAAGTACATAATTTACCCGACTTTCTTATGGTGAAGGAAAACATTGTGATGAACATATCGGCAAAGAAATTCAAAGATATGACTGAAGTCAACCCGCAGTGCAGCTTGCTTGACTATGGCCTAGTCATCCTAACTTAGGTTAGACTCCGAGCCCCTTAATCTGGACGTATATATGTACAGAATTTAGTATTTCCCAAGCCTATTATCTATACTTCTATACTATTATAATAAAGTGTAAAAACACACTTCTTTGTTGCCTAAGATGTCAGTAATTAGAGCATTATTTGAATAATTATTTTTTTAATAAAAAGCCCTACACTTTTGTCACGCTTTAGACTATATATTTTAACGCCATCAAACTTAGGTGGTAAAATTTTGGATAAAAACCCTAATGTGGGAAAGAGACCATAAGTTGCTGCCAACATCAAGGAAGCAAGGTTGTCATCATGTCATGTCATTTTGACATTTGTAATTTGAAAAATGTAAACAAAAAAATAAAATTTTCATAATTTCATACGAATGAAGTCGCACGGGAACAGCTAGTATTTAAATACTCACGTATCATCATCAAAATAATCTTCCATATCATCAGAGCTGTAGAAGAAATCATTTTCCAAATAATCATCATTAAAGTCTCCGGCTAAATACATTTCATCTTTCAAACCGACTTTCTCTAATTTCTCTATAACATTATGGTACACAGCTCTGTCTAAATATCCACTTTTATCTTTATCCAATAATTCTTCTTCAATATCTTTCCTTCTATTCTTTCTGTCTTTTCCAAGGTCATTGACGTTTTTTCCAACATTTTCATCATGCATTTTAGGTACCGGTGATAGATTATTCCAATTTTTATTATCTTCAACCTCTTCTGTATTTATCCAAGCTGGAGTAACGATATCCTTAGTCGGTGATACTTTGTTCTTTTTCCTTCTATATTTTCTACAAGAATTACGTCGTTTTGGTTTATCCGTTTTTGTATCTGAAAATCAAGACAGTAGGAATTATTAAAGAAAACAATTAGACACATTTAACCCTTAAATGCACGATTTTTTTTTAAATACCATAAATTGAAACGGGTAGTGAATTGAACATAGATTAAGGAAACACAAAGATTTTATTTTTTTTTCAATTTAGTTTGCAAATGCAACATCATGCATTTAAGGGTTAAATACATAGAAGAGATGGTAAAAAAAAAATACTGATACTTTCTTTGAAAAGTACAGTTAGGGAAATTGTCGGTGTTTGAACAAAAAAAACTACAATCGTTACATTTTGTAACATTTAAATACTATTTAATGCAACATATTGGCAATTAATTTAAATACAACTAGCTGTTGCTCCCGACTACGAGTGTTATTAAAAAATAATTAAAAACATAGCCTATGTCACTCACAGATAAATTACCTTTCTATGTGTGAAAGAATTTTTAAAATCGGCCCAGTAGTTTTTGAGTTATTTTAATACAAAAATACAAATCTTTTCTCTTTATAATATTAGTATAGATAGTAAAAAATAATTACGATAGCGTTAGTGATGATTATGTGAAAAAAAAATCAAGTTAAGTCAACTATACCTCCTCCATATATTTTATACTCTTTGGAAACAATGCAAGATAAGCAGTTTATTAAATTCAATTTATTTCATGCATTTATAAATTGTAAATTCTGATCTTAAGTCTTTGGGCAGTAAAAGGGATGGATGAAAGGAGACTACATGTGGCAGAAATGAGAATGTTAAGATGGATGGTAACACGAATGGATAGAATACGAAGTGAGTATATTAGAGGAAGTCGGAGAGTAGCCCCAGTGGTAGAGTAGGTAAGGAGTAAAAGGTTAGCATGGGGGCATGTTATAAGGGATGAATCGCATGTAACAAGGAGAATGTTAGTTATGAGTGTGGGGTACACCGGCAAAGGTGGACATAGAAAGAGATGTATTGTGTGAAAGGTGATATAAGGAAGGGACTGATGACTGAGATGACGTATGATAGAGTTATTTGGAGAACAAAAACCTGTTGCACCGCTATGGGAGTAGGATAAGGTTGATGATAATGATGATGATGACGATGATGATGATGATGACGATGAAGAGTCTTTGAACATTTTATAGAGAGTAAATGATCTTTAAAAAGAACTTACCATCGTCTTTCTTAACTTCCATATAGTTCTCAATGTAGCTACAATCTTTGACTAGAAAATCAGTACTAAGGTCTGGCTCGCAGAGGAAAGATGATTCCTCTGGCTGGGTCTCTTGTTTAGGCTGTGACCTTCTACCTTTCCTCCTACCTGGAAGATGAATAAAAAAAAACATTATTTTTTATTGAAGTAATTGTTATACTATTAACTGTTGCTAGTGACTTAATACAAGTGAAAATTGAAAAAAAAAATATAGACTATGTTACCAGGAGACAGTGATGACGTAGCTTTTTAACAGTGAAAGAATTTTTCAAATCGACCCAGTAGTTTTTGAGTTATTTCGATACATACAAAATACAAATCATTCCTCTCTATAATTAGTATCGACTAGCTGTTTCTCGCGACTTTGCCCGCGTGATATTAAAAATTATAATCTATGATACTTACAGATAAATTGTCTTTCTTATGATGAAATAATTTTCAAAATTGGACTAGTAGTTTTTGAGTTATTCTAATACATAGCGTCGATAGCTCAATGGTTTAAGCACTTGACTTGTAATCTACAAGTCTTGGGTTCGAATCCCGCTGTACCAATGTGATTTTCGATTTTTCGAATTTTCGTATGTACATAATTTACCCGACGTTCTTACGGTGAAGGAAAACATCATGATGCAACCTGCACATATCGGCGAAGAAATTCAAAGATATGTGTGAAGTCAACCAACCCGCATTTAGCCAGTGTGGTTAATAATGGCCAAGTCATACTTACTTAGAGTACGCTCCGAGCCTCTCGGTGGGGACTTATAGTGAGTTGGTGATGATGATGATGATGATACAAAAATACAAATATTTCCCCTTCATAATATTAGTATAGAAGTATATATTAGTAAAGGTCTCTTTCCACTCGCTCTGATATTTACCTTTCGGTGCATCTGGGTTCTTTTTCGTATCCGCGTCTGATTTCTGTCGCTTCTTATTAGATTGCTTTGCCTGTCCACCCTCTGACGGGTCGAACAGACTGAAGAATGAGTCCATTATTATCTGAAATATAGAAAAGAATGTGTTAAAGAGGACATGCTAGAGAAGGCAGTGAATTCAGATATTCGGCTGAGAGAAATGTATGTAAGATTATGTACTGTGCCCACACACCTCCACTGCCTCTTGGTTTCGGGCATAATTTTATTTTAGTTGTCTACACTAATATTATAAAGTGGAAAGATTTGTATTTTTGTATATAATTAATAAAACTATTTATAGTTTCTAATAATCTTTGCAATTAAAAACACATTCTCGTGAGTAGATATCTATTTTTACCGCAGTCACTTGTTTATATTAAACGGGTGAACAACCCAGTCAGTATTTTTATTACGTTATCAAATATGCGTAGGAGATATTTACGAATCTAATGTCACAAAAATAAACCAGACATTGTCAAGGTTCAACACACACGTGTACGTACAGTCGAGGTAATGAGGTGTCCCATTTACAGAATATTATGTTGTCCCTTGTAAGAGGACAAGATCAAACTTACAAATAAGTAGATAAGCGCGAATAGCCTAGTGGTTTGAGGTATGGTCTACCAATCTTAGAGTCGAGGGTTCGAATCCCGCCATTTAACTATTGTCTTGAACCATATCCTAGCACAAGCCGAGAGCTTAGTTGAAATTATTAAAGAAAATATTAGGAAATTAAAGAAAATATAACGTAGAGGATAGTCTGTAAGAACACATAGGCTACTCACTTTTGTTTTTTAATTCCACGCGGACTGAGTCGCGGGCAAAAGCTAGTAATAAATACAAATTAGCCGCTTGTTCAAGATCTTTTATCTTGCTTATTGTTCCTTGTCTTAATGAATTGAAACAGTTATGTATTTTGAACACCGCCATATTCCCTAACTGTACTTAAGGATGGATTCACGCAACAAATATCGATCGTTAGTTTATTATTATTTTTTGTATTAGACCATACAGTTTGTTAACTTTTTACTTTGAGATTTTATTAACAACAGTTAATATAAAAAAAAAACAATACAATAAAAAGTAACGAAATAAATCCTTGAAAATAGAAAACCTCCCTTATTTTAGCTGTTATGTCTATATTGTACAATTATTATTACTTTGATGTCGGTGTCAGCCGAGGTATGCAGTGATATTTCTACATAAGGCTGCTACATTTTTACCATAAAAATTGATAATTGAAAGTATAGTAACGTTTAAGTAACGAATCTACATTGACTGAAACCGACTTCAAAGTAATAATAATTGTACAATATAGACATAATAGCTACAATAAGGGAGGTTTAATATTTTCAAGGAATTATTTCGTTACTTTTTAGAGAATTTTTTTTGAATTTTATATTGGTCAAACCGTTTTCAGTACAATTAATTTTTCGCACGCATATTTAGTCATTCGATAACAATAACATTTACGTCATTTATCACGCGTGTACGATAAATGTAACGTTTACACTTATTTTCAAGGTTAAGCAAGGTTACGTATTTCCAAATGAACACAAGAAAACCATATTAAATCAAATCTATATTATATATCTCTCTGTAAAAGTTTATAATAAACAACTCGGAATACATAAATTCCTACACATTTCTGTTACGACCTTGGCAACATATCAAAGTGTACATAACACAACGCTGTCAGATTCGGCGGGAAATTTTTGGCGCGCGATGCGATGTTTTTAAAAAAACAAACAGACAAATGGTAGTGTTTGGATTCTGCCAGAAGTCTAAACTTAGATTTTTAATAATAATAGCTTTAGCAATTATTTTAAACTTTTTTTAAGCATTTAATAAACAGTTTCTTTACATATTTAGGTAAAATTAGTTTGTGCTTACAGCTAATTACGCTAACTTAATTAATATTTGATTTTCCTTGATACTGATGCAATAATTTTACAAGCTTATGACACAAACTATATCTTTATTGGACTATAACTTTTGCATGCAACTTTGTCTGCATGATATTAAAAAAACTAGTAATATACATAGTCTATGACACTTAGTAATAATGTTGTTTTCTAATAGTATAAGAATCTTTGAAATTGTTTCAGTAGTTTTAGAATTTACCTGAAACAAACATACAAATCTTTCCTCTTTAGCATAACAGTATAGAAGTTTATTTTAGTAGTAGTAATAATATACAATGTAATTAATGTATACTATAATCAAGTTACTGCCACAAATGAGGTTTTATTTCGAATTCTTGTGTTATTTTAAAATTAAATGATCTCTCGTTAAACATGGAGTTTGATAAACAAATGAGGGTATACAGACAGTAAAACACTTCACACAAAAAACTGTGTTGATAAATGAAACATAAAAAAGTTGTTTTAAGACAACTACATAACAGTAGTTTTTTTTTTCAAACGGAATAAAAAAGAAAATGATTTGACTATGACCTTGCATTATTTCAGTTTTTTACATAACACTTTAATGCCTATTGCTGTGTCACTTAATCTGTGTTAAATTGAAAAATAATAAAAAAATATAGCCTATGTTACTCACTGATAACAATGCTTTTTAATGGTGAAAGAATTTATGAAACCGGTTCAATAGTTTTTAAGTTATTTTAATACATACAAAAATACAAATATTTCCCCTTTATAATATTAGTAATGTTTTATAACTATATTTACAGTATATAGCTATTTCTATTAATATTTTAAGTTATATTATATTTAGTCAAGTGATAATAGCCATTAGGTAGATAGCCAGCCTTTATTGGACAGAGGATAGGATGATCAGAAAGAGGATGTTGTCCCTTCCTTGCCAAATCCTTTCATCTGTTTCATATAAGAAAATGGAGTGAAGAGAAACACATAAGGATATGTTCTCTGGCATATACATAGTGGCATAGCTTATTTTGAGTTTAATTTGAGTAATTATATGTCATTTATTCTCATTTATAAAAATGATATCTACATTGCCTACTAAGAAAAAATATAAATTTGACAAAATTAGAAAGTTTCTTTGTTCTAATATCGGAAAAATTCTCTAAATAACATATCGTTTTATCAAACACATAAATAAATTATTGTTTATCAAACAAACGTTATCAGAATCAATAATTATATTGATTTGAAATCTAAAAAGGCGCGTATTTCGACAAAGGTATAAAACCCGCGTAAGTCCAAGAAATAAAAAAAAAACAAATTAACTTTTTAATTTCAAATAAATGTATAGATTAAAAATGATTTATTTATAGAATGAAAGCACTTACCTGATCCAAACAGCTGTTTCGTTAGGTTCAAGGTAACATTGAAACACCACTCACTGTTGCCAAGTCCGCATTCAAAGTGATTGTGAGTCAACAAAAGTACGATACAAACAGAATACGGCCAAAATAATTACAAATGTGACGCAAAGATTACGAAAATATTGCAACTGTACAAACAATGAAATAGTAGTACAGTGACTAGCGGTTACGCACAATTATCACATAAGAATCTAATTAGTAATTAAAATTGTAACTTATTATTTATTAAAATGCTATAATAGTGTTCATAAAGTTTGCGACATATTACGCCAAGTTGAATCACAAATACATTTTGTATTTTCCGAATTCTGACGAAATGTTTTGACAGTTTAATGGTTCCGAGAAATCAATTTTTGATGTTTTGTTACCCAACCAAAAACTTTTATTTTCTTTACAAATTAAGTGATTAAGGGTTCTCTTTTCAAACAGATGTTAAAACTATAGTTTTTCAAAGTTAACTTTGGATCATCACACTTGTTCTTTTTATGCGTTTTTCTTAACTATACAAACATTTAAAGTTTTATTTTTAAAACTGGTGATTATTTCAGAACGAAATGACATTGTCTATGTTGTTTCTTTGACGTTTGTCAATTTGTCAATGTTGATCAGATTTGATTTTCTGTTTATAATTTTTAAATAACAAGGAATTTAAAAAGATTGTATACCAACAATTGCAATAAATGAAACTGTAATTGAAAGAAACTGAACGTTGGGAAGAAGTAAAAACACAGTATCTTCATGAAACAGCCATTGGCAAAAATAAATCAATACCTCCTACTAATGAAAAGTTCTAAATTTACGTCTGTATAATATAATATACCTTATATTTAAAACGAATAACATTAAATTGGGATTACAACATGAGCTATAATCGTTCACTTCAATAGAAAGATGATACACCATAACATCGTAACAGAAATAATCTCGGAGTACCTTTCTTTTTATTTGCAGTTTTATAACAATGGTACAGGTTGACTTGTGAATTAAAAAATGAAAATAACTAAACTAAAGAAAGTAAACAAAATTCAATATGAATTTAAATGCAATATATGTTCAAAGGTAAGATTCTGAAAATGTACTTATATTTGTATTTTATTATAAAAAAGTTCTTTGTATCTTGTCCATATTGTGTAGCCATTATTAGCCATAGGCAGGATTATTTTCTAGTTTTTCTGTGATTACATAATAAAAGACATGCATAATCGCAAGATTTTTAATCTTACTGATTATAATTTTGTAGACTAAGACTGCGCAAACATTTGACTAAATAATCGAACAACTGTTTAGTCTCGCTTTGATTCCTATCTTACTAATATTATAAATGCGAAAGTTTAGATGGATTGATGGATGTTTGTTAGCGTTTGTAGCCTAAACGGCTGACCGTATCTCCATGAAATTTGGCACAGGTTTAGAGCATAGTCTGGAAGAACACAGAGGCTACTTTTTATCCCTAGAATAGTTATGGTTCCAGTGGGATTCATTAATTTAGTATTTTAATGCTTACTCGATCATTCTGCAACGGTTCAACATATCTTATTGAAATTTTGCACAGATTTAAACAAAGTCTGGAGAAACATGGGATAAGCTTCATCTCCGAGAAATGTCCGGTTCCCGGGATACATACCTTTTTGTAATTTATATAGTTTGTATGTTTTCTAATACCACGCGTACGAAGTCGCTGGCAACAGATTATTTTTAGTTGTGGAACTAAACAGTTGAATTGGCTGCAAAACAATAGACAATCGCATAACAGTTATGTGATTGTTTAGTTAAAGGTGTGGGCCTCTTCTAAGTAAGTTATTTACATGAAATATGTCTTAAAGATACTCTCTTATAAGAAACAAAGTTAGCAAAGCCTTTAATCCAGAAGAAAATTAAATCTTGTAGTCAGTATATATTTTTAATTCATTAATTTACGAGGTGTAGCAGAAGACTGTCTGTGCAGTGTTAAAAAGAAACTGTGTTTGCTTTAAGAACCTGGTATTTGAAAGTGATTGTTACTGGTTATTGTCACCAATATTCACATATTCAGACATTTAATATCTGAGACAAATTTCAACAATATATATTATCAAGTAAACTTGTAAAAATAGGATTAAAGTATCCCATTGGAATCATGGATCCTCGGTGGCTCAGTGGTTTAAACACTTGACTTGTAATCTACAGGTATTGGGTTCGAATCTCACCATGTACCAGTGTCATTTTCGATTTTTCGAATTTTCGTATGTACATAATTTACCCGACGTTCTTACGGTGAAGGAAAACATCGTGATGCCTGCACATATCGACGAAGAAATTCAAAGATATGTGAAGTCAACCAACCCGCACTTTCACATTTATGATATTAGTTATTATTTTTTTCAGATATTCTTGGATAAATCATTACTTCAGCAACATAAGAAAATACACAACAAAGCAATTTACAATTGCCAATTGTGTTCATATTCCGGAAAGACTGTCAAATCTCTGAGCAGTCATGTAAAGAAGGTTCATACAGAACCGACCATACCTTGTGAGATATGCGGAAAGAAGTTCCACTTTCAATGTAAATTGAAACAGCATTTATTAGTGCATTCAGGTAAATACATTTACTAGTTAACACCTACTCAATCCGGGCAAATTAAAAAAAATAGTAAGGAGCCTATATGTTCTTCCAGACTATCCTCTACATCTATGATAAATTTCATTGAGATCCGTTCAGCAGTTTAGGCTACAAACTAAACATCTATCTAAACTTTCGTATTTATATTATTAGTAATATAACTACTAGCTTTCCTCATTTGCTTATACACATGACTGTACCATAAAAAAATAAAATGTAAATATCACAATTCAAATGCTCATATGACAAAAAATACCTACGAAATTCCATTACCATGGAAATCTTCCTGTGCTGTCCAGAAATAGGCTCTTCATTAATAGTTCCTAAATATTAGTAACTAGCTGTTCCCGTGCGGCTTCATCCGCTTCGAATTAATAAAAAATATTTTTTTGTTTACATTTGTCAAATTATCAATTGCAAATGTCAAAATACCAATACCCTTACTATGGCAATCTTGTTTCTTGATATTGGCAGCTGTTATCGTATGGTCTCTTTCCCACATTAGGGTTTTCATCCAAAATATTTACCCCCTCGGTTTATTGGCGTGTAAATATATAGCCAAAAGCGTGCCGTAAGTGTAGGGATTTTTATTAAAAAAAGAATTATTCAAAAATATGGTGTAATTGCTGACTTCTTAGGCAACAAAGAAGTGTGTGTTTATGCTTTATTATAATAGTATAGATTGAAACCATAGCCTATGTTACTTTTAACGTGAATCAAATACAAATCTGTCCTCTTTATAATATTAGTATAGATGTCATCAACTTGCCCTTGTCGCTATTAAGTGTCGGCACAGTGCTGATTCCATACATCTCTATCAGCCATATCTGAATCCACTCCTTTAAGCATATCTTTCACACAATCCATACATACATTTGGTCTTCTACATTTCTCATCCATATATATCCAAATGAGTATATTAGAGGAAGTTTGAGAGTAGCCCCAGTGGTTGAGAAAATAAGGAGTAAAAGGTTAGAGTCGTATGGGCATTATGAGGAGGGATGAATCGCATGTAACAAGAAGGATGTTAGTTATGAATGTAGAGGTACATCGGTAGAGGTAGACGTAGAAAGAGATGGATGGATTGCGTGAAATGTGACATGATCAAGGAGGGAGTGATGACTGAGATGACGTATGATAGAATGCTTTGGAGGACGAAAACCCGGTGCGCCGACACTACGGGAGTAGGATAAGGCAGAGGAGATGATGATGATTTCTCATCCACATTCAATCTTACTCCAGTAGAACCTTAATAACTCAAACCATGGTAACTTAAAAACCTCTATAACTTCAAATAATAATATGTTCCCTTCCCATCAGAGCCCAAAACCTCTACAACATAGATCCTTGATATAAAACCTCTATAACTTAAAATATTTCGTATTTCCCTCGGACTTTAACTTATCGAGGTTTTACTGTATCTGTTTTTTTGACCGACTTCCCAAAAAAAAAATAAAAAAAACACAGACGAATTGAGTACCTCCTTCTTTTGGAAAGTCGGTCAATAAAGGAGGTACTCAGGTCTGTATGTTTTTTTATGTGTGTTACGGCATAACTCCGCCGCTAATGGACCGATTTTGATAATTCTTTTTTTATCCGAAAGGTAATGCTTGCAGGTGGGTCCCGTTTTGTTTGATTTTTTAGCTCATCCGCTCACTGTATAACATACCATGTTGTTGTTCTTGCTTCTTCATTTCTAAATTAACTATGATTTAATTTTCAATTCCAGGTGCCAAACCTCATAAGTGCAAAATATGTGGTAAAGGATTCAATAGTACATATTCGCTTGGGACACACGAACTAATTCACTATAGTGAGTATTGATTTTTTTAATAATTCCAAGCAATGTACACTCAAGTTCAATAGAAATCTTACTTCTTACTTCTTACTAATATTATAAATGCGAAAGTTTAGATGGATGGATGGATACCGTTTGTATTTGTTGATTGTTACCGTTTGTAGCCTAAACGGCTGAACGGATGTCCATGAAATTTGGCACAGGTTTAGGGCATAGTCTGGAAGAACACATAGGCTACTTTTTATCCCGGGAATAGTTACAGTTCCCGTGGGATTCATTAATTTAGTTTTTTTATGTTTACTCGATCATTCTGCAACGGTTCAACATATCTTATTGAAATTTGTCACAGATATAAAACAAAGTGTGGAGTACACATGGGATAA